GCTGCCCAGCTTGGGCGGGCGGTAGCTGTCCAATAAAGTGCGTTGACTTCTCCCATCGTCGAGTGGAAGCCCAAGTACCCCTCTCCTACGTCCATCTAGCAGGGGTTTTTCGACCGGTAAACTGCCCCTCACCGTGTTTTTTACTGGAGTGACCGTTCCAGGGGCAGGTGTGGATAGAAGAAAGAAGCCAGGGGGTGCCCAAGCAGCTGGCTTGTGAAACTGAGCTTCGTCTGGCCTCTACCCGTTGGTCTTTCAGGCATGATTGGATCTACGGCTGTGAAAAGCCATCCTGTGTAGCTCGCAGGGTCATGGAGGCACGCAAGCCATGACACTGCGTCAAGGTGCAGTCTCGTCGTGATGGACATTCCAAAGTACAAGTATGAGAACGAATTGACAAACGATTGAGGGGATAAACCGATATCTTATGTGCGGCATGGACCGCGAAACCCGGTTAAGTGCTTCTGGGGAATGTTTTCCAGACATTCATACACTACTAATTGTTTGAGACTAGTCGCTGTTAAACAAATCGTGGTACAATCGCCAAGTTTCCCAGAACATAGTAGGTGAGTTTCCTTCAGGACTTCCCAACTAAGGCATCCGCCTAACCGAAGCGTTACACATAAGGTAGCCATCTGGTATGCATAAATCACAGTCTATTGGAGTTGACGTTCAGTTCACCGGATCGTCGGACGGATAAAGCGACCATGGTGCTCACTCAAGCCTGTTACCACAGCCACAACCTGGAAGGTGTGTGTGGTTTTTACAAATCTCTTTGCCTCGTTTGGCATCAGGTTTTTAGCCAACTCCCCTCGATGGTTTACTGACTCGGTCGTAATTCCGTATATCGTGTTTTCGTTCGCTCGCTTAGAGGTGAGCAAGTACCTCTACCTGAAATCAGTGAATGGTGTTTCCTCATGAGAAACTGTTTGAGACCCTCAGTTATATTGAAGCGTTCCACGTGGTGCAAAAGAAGAATTATCAATCACATGCCCACACAACCTATGGACACGTTCTGCAGACTTTCTGTTCATATTTTGTGGCACATTTGTCAGTTCTGTGCCATTGGTTAAATGTTGAGATAATAAAATAATAATAGGACCTTTGATAATCTTGCAGCTTATTTTCCTGTCACCAGTGGGGTGCGACGGAATTGCCCCATTTCTTTGTTTCTCTTCAACTTTGCCAAAGATGATGTTTTACAAAACGCGTTACATAACGTAACGGACGCTGGCTTCGAGCTTCTTTATGGAAACAGTCGCAGATTTGGAATAAATCGGTGATATTGCCTTACTCGGTGACAACGCTCCAACGATTCAAGAGTTGCTGAATCGATTGACAATTGAGGTTACTCATTATGGTATGTCAATCGCACCTTCAAAGTGCAAAGTTTTTATAAGAACTGCAGGAACCCGTTCCTTCACTTTCGTTGGGTAACCACACCCTGGCGGACGCATCACAGATGAAGTGTCGGCACGCATACAGAAGGCTCGGTTGGCATTTGCCAACTTGAGACATTTGTGGCGCCGTCGCGACATCCGGCTGTCTGTGGAGGGTCCAGTGTATGCTGCAGCAGATCGGCCAGTGCTACTTTACACTGCAGAGACTTGGCCACTAAAGGAACAGGATAGAAACAGATTGTCGGTGTTCGAACACCGTTGTCTACGTAGCATTGCATGAGTCTGGTGGGGAAACCAGACAAGCAATGCTGAGGTTAGGCGTAGATTTTTAGGTAATCGAGGTCGTTCACTGGAGCAAGTAGTTGACCTTCATCAATTATGTTGGTTGGAGCATGAGCTGCGCATGTCACGAAATAGGTTGCGATGTTTGCCGAGGCAGGTAGCGGTCGGAAAAAGATCAAGGTCGGTCAAACTAAGAATCCGGCATGAGCGTATGAAAACTCTGACCAAGAGTCTGGGTCACATAGGTCCCGTTAGGCTCCCAGGCTGGGGACCCCGAGATGGTTACGGATGGTTGGAGACACTGATCGATATGGCTGGGTGTTGTAAACAGTGGCGCTCATGCATCTAATGTTTATTCTTGTAACTTCAGTCTGTATACATGTACTACCTTCCGCTTTAATCTGCTGTCAACATTCTAATCTTCATTCTGCTGTTTTATCTTAATGGTCAGCCAAAAGACAGCAATCAAAACGGGCGCACGGAAGTGCATGGTTAATGGTTGCAAGAACTGAACTGAACCACACCCTGGACATGGTCGAAAGCTTCGTCTACCTCGGGAGTTGCATAACGGCTGGTCCAAAATCGCTGGCGTATGGTAAGAGCGTGGCGTGAATAACGGTGTCAGATGACGTGTGTTAGGATCAGATAGTCTTCCATTGAGCAGAACAATTTCACTGCATCGTCCTATGCTGCTGGGGCACGTTTTATGAGTGCCTGAACAACGTCTACCATACCATGCATTATTTGGAGACATTGGTCCGGGCTGGAAGAAACAACGAAGTGGGTAGGCTATGGCGTGGCGTGGAGGGTTAAATAGATTCTACTCGGATCTAGCTTCCTTCGGGACTTCCCCTCTGGGGCCCCAAAGATTCAGTGGATCTTCCCTAGTATAGACTGCAACTTACAACTTACAAAGGTGGATGCCGTAGTGACCCAGCCAACTAGCGATCCGCCTCTCTTCTTCCAGTATTGTCCAAAGTCATGGAATCTATTGTAGCGGATTCGGTAATGGATCATCTGGAGAAAAATGACTTACTATCACCAGCCCAGCACGGGTTTCGAAAAAATCGTTCATGTGCAACTAACTTGATTTTGGCTCGGGATGATTGGACTCATGCTGTAGACCAAGGCCAAGGGGTAGATGTTATTTACCTGGACTTCTCTAAAGGATTTGATAGAGCAAATCATCAAATACTGATACGGAAGCTGTGTAATTATGGAATCTGTGGACTCGTACTTGGCTGGATCGAGAAGTTTCTTCGCCTACGCACCATATCAGTTCGTTTTTCCGATTCACTTTCTGATCCAATAGATGTCAACCGTGGGGTTCCACAGTAATCTGTACTNAGGCCCACGTTTTTTCCTTGCATTTAGAAATGATCTTCTAAACGTCCTCGGACCACAAACTCTGCTGTTTGCGGACGATGCCAAAATATGGAAGACAATAACAAAACCAGAAGATTCATTTGATCTCCAGAACGCCGTTGACAAAGCCCACAGATGGTCTGTCTCCAATGATATTGAATTCAACGTTACCAAATGTAAAGTTTTATCACTACGTCACCCTAATCGTTATTCCTACACGAAACTCTGCCTCATGCTTCATCCGAGAAGGATCTAGGAGTGGTCATTCGTGCAGACTTGAGTTGCTCCACAAACTGTTCCACGGCATCATCCATGGCGGTGAAACAGGTTGGACTGCTCAAGCGTGTTTTTGGATCGTTTGAGCCGGCCTTGTCTCCACGTCTGTTAGCCACATATATCCGTTCATACACCGAGTACTCAATTCAGGCCTGGAATCCATGGCTGCAGCGAGATCGGAAGGCACTTGAATATCCGCAGAGAATGGCTACCAAGATGGTCAAAGGTCTACATTCCAAGACATATGGCGAAAGATTATTAAAGCTATTGGGGCTATACTCGTTTCAATATCGTCAAATTAGAGGCGATATGATCTTACTGTATCGAATTTTCCAACAGCCCAACCATCCATGTAGATCTCTTTTGGTTCTATCAACCAATGTTCACCTCAGAGGGCATCCACTGANTCGACTGCAGACGCCATTCATTTTCTGTCAGAATGTGCAGCAAATGGAACTCTCTACCACCTCACGTGGTCTGTGCGCCAACATTAGTATCTTTCAAGCGTCGGCTTGATGATGCTCTGGCAAGATTATGTTTCAACACCCAACTACATAATATATTCTCCTGTGCTCGTCAAAAACATTACATAATATTTTACTTTCATGGACTAACTGTGATACTTGTGAATCGTGTTCTGAACCAAAGTGTAAACACCCTATGGGATTTGATAATCGAAGTCTTTGTAAGTTTTTCCCATAGTAAAAATTTGAATTTGAATTATATTTGGCTAGAGGCACTGCGGGATATGGTATCGAACCGAAGTAAGTGGCGTGAATTCATCCTTTTCTGTGTGCGATCCCAAATTATTGAAGATGAATTACCGTGTTTTGATCACTTTCTGCTGCCACTAAAGGGTTTTCACATTTCAGTGAACAACTGAAAATCCGTTTTTTTAAACAAATGAGTACATCTCATCTACTGATGATTTTTTCTACCTCAAGGGTCAATAAGCCCAACGACTTATTCGCGAATTAATGAAAGTTGATTATACTATTAGTTTGTCTATAGTGTGTATGAAGTTTCCCTATCATTTGCGAACTTTAATATAGATATCAATAATGTGGTGCCACCATGAATGGTTGTATAAAATTGTTACACAGATGCGGATTTCTATCTTAACATGTGGGTTCGTTTTCTCCACAAAGTTTATTTTGTTTTCCTGTTCATCCCACCATTAAAGGTAGTAAACAGTTCCATTTATTCTTCTTTGAACCGATCCGATTTGAAGAAAAAGCTGTTCGCATTTTTCCCCGGTGGCAGTGGCTGGTTTTCACTCCGGTGATTTGAGACGCTTGAATTGTTCACTTTGTCAGGACTGAAACGTTCGAATTGTTCTCATGTGTTCCGAGAATCTCAGACCTGGAGCGTTCACCCAAAACTAACTGTATTTTGTCGTTGTCCTTTAAGTCTATCTTGCAAGGACTGACAACTGTGACTTGTTTTTCACTGGCACTGAAGCGATCGGCCTCTTCCACCACAGACGCGCACACATAAACGATCCAGATGTGTGTGTATATGTGTGTTTTGACAGTTCCGTCGGATAAAAGTGCAGGGAAACCGCAGCTGAAAATTCTACTCAGCCGTGTTTTCCGCTTATTGAATCACCTGGTGTTACATATTGTCTGAATTGGATAACAGCTGTGTTACTGTGCCGAATGACACGGAAATCATCCACGGACCAATAATAATAATCCGCTATTGTTGGCATGGTTCGAGGTGGTGGTGGATCCAAATAGCTAACGCCTCGGCCATGCATAGCATAATTTGCTTCAGTTATTTAGATAGATCAAATGGGGTGGGATTCTGTAGAACACCTGAAATGACCTTTCGAGATAGATTGACTAGCACCTGACTCTGTTCCACGCATACAAAGCTCGGTTGGTTTCTGCTCTGACATGTCACTGCAAAATCCATACTACTTCGTTTGATCCGGACTGGATTCACGTGGTATCCAATGGAGAACAGAAAATAAAACAAGCCTTGTATATGCCCCTATTTATATGCCAAAAAAGTTTTCATCAAGTACGTTGTGGGATGCGCTACAAACTTCCAGAGCGGTCACACATATACATAGAAATGAGGTTGACTTTCACCTACATCCACGATCTTGGAAACCTCTCCAATAAATTTATCTGATTGATGACATAAACTTGCCGGTTGCCGTGCTCCGATAACGAATCGGTTTTTGATAAAAAGAATACTAGAATTAATGTCATTTGTGGGGATTACTACACGTGGTCGAGCAGTCTCCAGTGGGGTTAGTTATATCTTGTAAGCCGTCAAGTCCGACAGCACAACAACATCCATCCGTGCTCATTTTATCAGTATCCTTCTCTTCTGGTAATAGGCATGTTCTATCGGATATGGGACCCAGAGCGTCAGTCACGTGTGTCGTTCTGCCCGCTGGTGTTGGTGGTAGCGCAGTGGTTTGGTCGCTATCACCGACAGTCTTTGGACCCCGAGGTTGGAGCTGCGACACTGCCACCCGACTTGGATGGTAGGCAGCTTTTCTGCCGTCCAGTTCAGTACCACGTCTAACATAAAGGGGCCTTGTGGTTAGCCACTCCAAGTTTTCATCATTGAACAGCAGGTTTTCGTGAACATGGGATCCATCCCATGTACTGTTCATCGCACAAAAATGTGTGTAATATAAAATCTTGGCTATCTGCAAACGCTAATCTCGCCTTATAGGCAGAAGGACCAATTTCAAAACGCTGCCAATTCGATCATATATTTCACCAAATTCCTCATTATATAGGTATATGATGCTTGCTGTTTGCTGATGGAAGCCTTATTTATAGCAGCGTGTTTAGCGTTTATTTTCGTTCGTGTTCCCATCTCGTGCGTTCAGATACGGACTATCTAATCAACACATCCCCGGATCAGACAAAGGTGGACAGTTGGATTTCCAGCGGTTTTGTCGACGTACCCACCGAACCATCCAAAGTGTCCATCAAAACGGAAACCGATTGGCCCACAGTACCGGATTTCTACTCTCAACGCTCCTCGGTCTCTTCATCCGACTCGTCCTCGGTCCGGCCGAACGATCTGGGTCACACGGTCGATTTGTCATCCCGGTTCCCACGAGCACCACCGGACATTGATCCACAAGCTGGGGAATCCGGTCAACCCACCATTACCACCGCATTCACGTCCACTTCGATCGAGTCGATTGAGCTGATGCTACGCCGTTTGATGTCCGATACGAACTATCGGAAAAAACAGATGGATATGTTATTCGGTAAGTGTGCCATGGGTATTTGCAGTGTTAAATATGCAGCATACTTACTCTGGTGTCCGTTTTGATCACCGGCAAGCTAAATCTGCCTCTTGGGCAATGTGTTGTAATGATCGGATCGTAGATTGCTTCCAGTTGTCGGTATTGTTTACTTTTAGATTGTCCTAAACATCAAGGGAACGCAAATCGTCATATATGCTTATAATATTTTCTTACTACCACAAAACCGGACCATGTCCGAGCTCACTTTATCCACGTCTGCTGTCTGACTGCGCTTATTGTGCCGCAGCCATCGTCATCATCATATGTATATATATATATATATATATATATATATATATATATATA